CACACAGCCTCTTCCCAATATGCGTTTTTGCAATTTGCATATATGCAAAAACGCATAAAAATGAATTTAACAGTTTCCATTTTTTGTTGGACTCCATTTATCTTTGCGTGTTTTTGTTGCATTCCCATCCATACTTCCCCTTAAAATCCGTCCTGTTTCATGCGTTTTTATATTTTTCAGCTCAGGAGTGCTGTGAAATTCTTGCTCAACGAAAGTAGTGGAAATGCTCATGCCGATAACTTCTGGTTGAATTTTTGCTCATTTCAGGTACCTCGCTATTACTCTTACTCTTTGCATTTCTATTTTCTTTTTTCAGGTAACGAGACCCGATTACCGAGAAGTAACGGCGCGTGAAGATCGCGATGAATTGCTGAAAAGCGAAAGAATCAAAGCGAAGCTAGCCGCCGAAGCAGCTGCAAATGATTTACTCAAGGAGCATTATCTGGATGAGTAAGTTGGGAATCGCTGCTTTGTTAGACCCAAATTCTTTTTTCTTCACTCTTTGCAAGAGATAACATCAGTGGAGGCGACTTAATCATCTAGCTTCACGAATGGTGTAGTTCTTATTGTTATCAAAGATCGCGAAATGAATGGGGTGTGAACTCGGCGCATGTAGTAAAGATGTGGGCTTGGAATTCAGTGCGTCTGAAACGTGATGCGAATTGCGGATTTGTCTATGATTAGAATGATATTCTGGAAAGAATTAAAAGTTGCATCTATTTCGGCCTACCTCGATGCCCCTGTTGCGAATGCGAGGAAACAATGCTGATCGATTATGACAGTATATTCGCTGCCCAGTGAGATGGGCGGGAATGTACTTTAGAGAGATCAGTAGTGGTTTCATCGCCGGGGCCTTTGCCATTCGGAAGAAACGGTTCGAGGAGAAGCGGCACATCCTTTTTTGTAGCCAGCGTTCGTTTATAATGCAAACGTTAGTTGATAAATTGCGTATTCAGTGTGGTCCAGCAAAAGAACTTCACTTGGTGGGTCTTGCAGAACGGGAACCTCATCGTTACACGACAAAAGTTGCTACTATTTCTATCACCAGAGAGGATGGCAGAAGGAAATCGCCTCAAGCAAACACTATTTCTACAATAACTCAACCTCTACAATACGTTCCCAAACAGTTTTGCGACAACATACGCCGTTTGCGAGGTGAACATCTTCCTACAGCTTGGCGTCAATCTGACATAATGACTGGTATCGATCAGTTGTTTGATTGGGCCAACATGACTCCACAAATGGCATTACCATCCGGATTTCATGTCATCCCTACTGCAACTGGGACATAATGCAGTGAAGGAAACGACGTGCACTGCTGCAGCTCTGTTGTCGGAGGAAGACAGTATGCAACAGTTTTAGTCATTGGAGGGGATTGGTATAACAGATATAGACAACAAGGAAGATGACGAAGTGGCGTACCAGCTTTTCAAAAATTCAATTACAAGAGATACTGAAGGCCGTAAGTGAAATGGCCATGGCGTCCCGACCAAAGGAAACCACTTCTTTCTAATTACAGTTTGGCACTGGGTCGTCTGCGATCTACGGTTAGAACTTTACAGAGAACGCCAAAACTATTTACACGTTATCACGCCGTCTTCCAGGAACAGCTAAGGGACGGAATTATTGAAAAAGGTAACCGAATCTAAATCTGCGTTTTTATATTACTTACCTCATGAGCCGATAATTGCTCCCCAGAAGCATATCACTAAGATGAGGATAGTTTTTGATGCGAGCGCTAAGCTCAGAGAAGGCGCCATTTTAAACGATAAACATCGATATTCCTCCCACAACAGAAAACCGGTATTTCTTCCACAGCTGATAAGCATACTTCTCAGATGGCATACATTCCCGACAGTGACTGTCGCTGACGTTGAGAAAGCGTTTTTACAAGTGAGCCTAAACAAAGCGACAGAGATGTTACGCGCTTTCTGTGGGTGGGGGTTCACTGTTACCTCCTGTAGGAAGCAACGTGGAGACTTATCGATTGATTCGAGTTCTTTTTGGCGTCATTTCGAGTCCATTCCTTTTAGCTGCGACAATGAGACATCATTTAAAACAGCTGAATACTGCTCTGTCTGTCCACATTTTGGAAAGTCTGTAGGTGGACAACACGATAGTATCAGCAGAAGATACGGAAGATGCGGTACAGAAATATGAAGAAATAAAGCGTTACTTCGACGACATGAAAATGAATCTTCGAGAATTCTCTTCGGAAAATGAGAAATTTATGGAAAGCCTGTCAAAAGGAGATCGACAGGAAAAAGATTATATTAGAATCCTAGGAATTGATAGGGATCGTCGCGGAGATCTGATTGTGTTGCGAACTTGCGAACTGCCTATGGCTGGAGCAACCGAGAGAGCAATTCTGAGTGCCATTGCTTCGATTTATGATCCATGTGGGTGGATGTCTCCGATTACGTTGCCAATAAAACACTTTTTGCAAGAACTTTGGGCTAGCGGGACAGATTGGAATCAAACACTGAATGAAGAGCAAGAGAGACAGTGGGCTCTCATTGCAAATGAGCGGAAACTGTTAAACAGAATAACAACGAGAACACTTCCTGCGTTTGTCGATGAAGCATATGCTGTGGTTGTCTATGTGACTGGGACACAAGGAGGGCAGATTATTTTCGCTAAAAACAGAATCGCACCGCTGAAATCGTTGACTATTAGGTTGCAGCCTCCAGGTCAGTCCTGGAGGGGCAGATGATGGGGAATAAAAGCAAGCAAGAGTAGTGTAGGTCGGGAGCTAGAGTGAGCTAAGACGTTTCGGTCCATTGAGTCATACACGTCTTAACCTCACACTGCGACTGGACCTCGTCACATATGACGTCGCAGTGCGTAAGGAAGAAGCAAGAAGGAGAGATGTACGTTTAGAAGTAAGGAAAGACCGTTTAAGGAGATAGTGGTAAGGTAGAAGAGGAGGTAAGAAAGATGGGAAGGGTGGAGAGGAGAGGGGGGAAGGGGAGTTAGGGACAGAAGGGAGTAGTAGGAAGATGTAAAACTAAAAAATCAAAAGTACAAAGGTAAAGAATAAAAAGTTTTTGAGGTTTAAAATTTTTTTAGGATTTGAAAAAGTTTTTTTATAAAAGGGATAATAGCAAACCTCAATGGTGAAGGTTTTGCCGTTAACATTCTCGTCCCCAGATTGCTTACTGCGCTTAGCAGAGGCCATATCTGGAATTTGAGAACAGATATGTGAGGTACGTAAGGACACGTAAGCAAATGACACGACGTAGTGGATTAAATAGCAACGAAGGGTATTAACTTATGCGAGTAGGCTACGTAGCAAGCGTTGACAATGGGGAGCGGTAGGAAAATATTTGGCGAGTTGTAATCGATTTTTGTATGTGAAAGTACGAACTAATCGTTGAAGACCATCAGGAGGGAAACCTTTAGCAGTGTAATCAAGGAAGAGACGTTGTGCCGAACGTGTGAAAACCTGAGAGGAGGACTCAAGCGTAAATAGCGGATAAGTTGACTGTATATAGTTCCGTCGTGAATCGATGGGTGTAAGTTGCTGTGAAGGGAACAGAATCTATTAATGGGGAAAGCAAAGTGGTGACTTTTAAAGTAAAGAGTGCATATTGTACAGCCTTCTTCATGTATGGAAAGGATCATGTCTAAGTAGTTAACGGAATTACCGAAACCAGTGATTTTGATGTCCAAATGTTGGCCGCATCTGCGATAAGGGGAGATGAGGATCCGTACAGTTAAGAATGAGTACGTCGTCGACGTAACGATATAGAAGGAAAGGTGGGTTACTGGGAATCCGACTGAACTTGAATTCAAGCACTGAGAGGGTGAGATCAACGATGTCGGAGCTAGCGTTACCACCCATGGGAATGCCCTTGGCTTAACGAAAGATGTAGCCGCTGAAACGTACATAGGCTTCGCCGACGACCGTGCGCAGTATACTACCGATTCCCGAAGAAGAGTAGGTTGTGCCGTAACCAAATCCTGCAGTATCGTTGACATATCGAATAGCCTTGGTGGTGATATGTAAAGTGTCGGCCTGGGCGTTGTGAAAACATAAGGAAAAAAGGTAACCAAGTGCGTCATAAATGACATGATGAGGGAGTTTTGTGAACAAAGTTGAAAAGTCTGCCGTATGAAAGCTGTGGATGAGTCTACAACTGGTAACGAATGTGATGACGTCGTCCGAGCTTCTAACACTGCAGTAGAGGCGTTTGCGTAACCTACGTTGTAATACCAAGGCGTAGTTGTAGAGATT